TTATATTTACGCATTACTTATTCATGTTTAATAATAATATTATTATATGGTGTAGTACAAATAGTATTTTTTATTATAATATCATTTTAAAGGTTTAGTTAATATATTTTTAGCATAATTCAGCTAACAATCTTTCATTGCCTCATGCGACAAGGGAACAGTCTTGAAAAATGGTTTTACTCTTTCACTCATCAAATGGGCAAAATGGTCTGAAATTTTATGAACCAAACTGATCTTGTGTTGGTACATTTTTAACCACCCAGAGTACATTTCTCCTCCAGAAAAGATCTCTACCAGATGCTTCTTAACTTTGTTCTTCTTATTCCTTTCGCTAACAAAAAGTATTTTTGCAGCAGATATCAAAATCTTCTTCTTTCAACTGCTGCGCAAGCGAGAGGAACAAAAAACTTCTGCAATGCCGTCCACTCGACGTTGAGATAGTAAAGGTGGGATTAAAGAGCTCGGCTTCATTTATCACCATTCTAAGCCCACGAAAATGGATGATATAAGGACTAATTTACGAACTGCATACGAAAATAAAAGTAAATACACTGCATTTTTAACTTTTATTCATCATTTTCTTCATTATTAGCCACAGCAGCAATCCTTCAACAATGAATATGCCTCTAATCTAGTTTGAGGAGATACTGAAATAATGAGGCAAGGTTGAAACTTGATGGTATCCTGAGGACTATATAAATATGGGAATATTCTACTATCAGGCCTTAATTCAACTTAAACAATAAAAGCAGACCAACGTTTTACCAAGGATTAATAAATAGGCAATGTTTGTAATGGATTTAATGTTGCCAGTGCTTCTGCTCGCTACTTTTTCATCATCGTGTCCAGTTGCACTCAAGCCCTGGTATTTTTGGTACATGTTTCGTTTGTGATGGCATGCCAGAAAAAAATGTTCATCAAATTATTGTCCTGTCTACTTAATTTCATCTTTTCCACTCGATTTGAGTAGTTAAATGTTTTGTCAGCTAACTTTTATGGAGATGCTATGAAGCTATTAAATCGTCACACCTTTAACGACCACTGAATCTCCATCCGAAAGGTGGCAAGACCAAATATCATTAACAACACTACTCTAAAGCTATCTATGCTTTTAATATTCTTTTGCTTATTTGAGTCTATATAAGAGTGTTAACATGAGAATTTTACAGAAATGAGACCCAGCTATGATGATTTTCATCGAATGATGGAAGAAAGCTCAGCCCGTTTTTATCCAAATCGAAGGAGGAGGTCAATCTGAACGTCGAATCAAAGCCACATGGCTGCAGTACAACGCGATTAATCAGTCCTCTCCTGGAAAGATCGACCTTTGAATCTCTTCGTCATATACTTTCATGTAAAATGAAATTTCAAGTAATAACGTTTTTATTTAGTTCCCATTTTTTGAATAATTCGTCATTCGTACAGTTTGTCATTAGCATAAAAATATTAATTTATTCGCAATCACATAATTCCCAAATGCATGTAAAGATGATGCTCCTATATTTCGTCAGAACCTTTTGGTTCGCGATTCATTTGGTGCATATCGCTTCAACTCCACTTAAGAACAAATTCAGACCAATCGAACTTCCATCCAGCAAACTTCAATTCTCAACAAAAAGCTGTGATTTCATCATATTCTTCCTTCGTACCGTGCTTTGGCAGACTTACATTTGTCAATGTCGCCATTTTGCTAACAAAAAAACTTGCTTGAGTCTGAGAGGCAAAAAGAGAAAAGATTCCTTTTTTCAGGAGCCTTACATTTACTTTGACTCGCTTGCACAAATTCGGCAGTCTTTACTGCAAGACACCACCACAAACAGGCTAACTTGTACCTTGGCAGAGTCTTACAGGTGGCCTGTGTGTGCTGGAATAAGTAATCTACCAATCAGACATGAAGATTTGGTTCCATTCCTAAAAGTGAAACATTAACTCATCAGTTATGGGGTGTGGAAGAGGTTTGGCTAGCACTCTTATTCACACTACAATGATGATCTATTATTCCTATTCAATTCGAAAGAAAGTCACGTCATTTAATGTCAGTTTCGCAAGACAGCTTCCCGCCTACATCTGGCAACTAAGTTATTTAACACGGTCATTATCATCCATCCATTGGCCTATGAAGCTATCAAATGTAGCGCAAAAATCACCTGCTCTATTTATCCATTAGTATGATCAAATTATAAGTGATGTGTTCACCCCAAGTCGATAAAGAACTGATGCTGACGTCTTCCGACAATGCAGTAAAGTTGACTTATAATTCATCACCTTCATCACCTTGAACGAAATTAGGTTAATACATCTCATACTACTGATTTACCGGCAGTCACGAAAACAATACTTAATTCGAAAAATATGTGAAATTGAATGGAAACGTCAGCTCAACTTATATGATTGTGGGAAAATTCTTCTTCTACCAGTCCTTTATCATCTTAGACAAAATTGGGTGAATGCATCTCATACTACTGATTTACTGGCAGTCAT